GGGTTGACCCCTATCCCTACCTCCCAGGCAGGATGCCACCTTTACCTAATCTATCTTTACCATGATGCTCCTGGTGTTTGCCATCAGCCATTAGTGATGCAAACTCAGTAAAATGCTAAAAGTTTCACTCCTACTTGTTTGACCTGCCACAAATCCAGTGTGACCTGAGTGGAATGACCGTGTTTCCTGGTAGAAAGCAGGAGATGATGACAGCAGGCATTAGTTAAATTGATTTCTACACTTTTGGTCACACTTCATGCAACATATTCCACTTCCAAAGGGCAAAACCTGGCTGATAAATATTTCATTGAGCAGTTAATCACATTGCTAGAGATAAAATCACCTGGCCATAAGCAAGACCAGAAACGAGCCAATGCATTCTGCTGATACACACAAAATGATCTATTACATATTTATTGTATGCTTTGCCTAATCATTTATTAAGTCACTCTAAGAGGATGCATAGTCCAAGGAATTTAAGTCGTGCCTTGCACCACCAGCCCTTGGGATGGGAACACCAGACCTACCATGCTGCCTCTCCTGCAGCAACCAGAGCACGAGGAAACCTCTGCCTGGTCTCTAATCTTTTCCTGGGTGAGGAAATCTATCCCATGCAGTGGATCTCTAAAACTTATGATTAATAAAATCATTGTTTATCCAAGAGATGTTTATTCCACATGCCCAGGTGTTCTCAGATTGCCCCAAAGCCGTAATGGGCAGCCCATAGGCTGCTTTGGGAACCCTCAGGACAGACAGTGGGTGGAGGAAAGCCACAGCCTGAATTCCTTAAAAATATTCTACCTGTTGTAAGTGCTTTTGATTCCCATATGAAGTGTCTGAACTGCCTGAGAAGTTACTGTTCTATCCAGGTGGCTGTAGTCAGAAGTGGGAATGGGAAAGGAGCCTATCAGGAGGTGTTGCTGTCTGATCCCAGCTGAGTCACATACCCTGGTAGAAACAGGATTTCTACTTTAATGGATAAAATAACACTTTCCAAAGTAAACCAACTGGAGTGTTTCCACTGAACTCACCAGAGCTGGGTTCAGGGGACGCTGATCTCATTAACTGAACCTTAGGAGACTCCTGGATTTAGCAGTCTCTCATCTCTTTGGAGTACTCCTTGGAGTTCTCTGCATGATCTTTAGCTGATCATCTAAATGACAATTGTGATTAACTGCACTCTTCATCACTGTAGCCACACAGAGACCATACAGAACATTTCTTTCCAACCCCATATAAAGGCTTGTGTCCAAAGCCAAGGACAAGTATTTGAGTCAACCTCCAATCCAGTTTAACCCAGTATGTGAGATACTTCTGCTTTCCTCCAGATAGTAGCCAGGTATTTTATATCTAAGGAAAAAAGCCAGGCTCACCTTAGTTGGCCACCTCCTAGTTTTAATTTTTGCTGGCTACTTAATTGGTGCCACAGGAGCCATAGAAGAGTCACAAAAGTTCCTGAAAATCCAGACATGCAAAAAACTTTTGGACCATTAGCAGTCCTCCAAGTTGCCATCAACACCACCTTTGTCATGCAAGCACCGAGACAGCAGTGCTATCTAGTGCATCGACTTTAAAACAGGAAGGGAAAACGACCCCACTCCTTTTCCATGGCTCCCAGCCTGTGCTGTTATTTCAGAGCTCACACGCCCATTATTGGCAGCACAACCAGCCCTCGATGCTCAGACTCGGATGCTTGCAGAGTTTGGGATTTCACATCAAAGCCACTGGTTTGGCCAGTGATAAAGTTTGGAACCAAAGCCAAACTTCTCAGAATTTCACAGCTATTCCGGTCCCACGCCGGGCTCATCTCCCCTCAGTGCTGCAAGGAGCAGGCACGCGGCAGCGCTCCAGCCACCACAGCTCAGCAGGACCTGGATCAAGTGAACATTCGGATTTAACTCTCTTTTTAAGCCCATTTTGTCCTTCAGAAGGCTATTTCTGATCCTTTGGGGTGCTGACATCTCCTTCCAGGAGAAAGAGCTGGGTGCCACCAGGCACCCTGGTGGGACCCTTTGCCCCCTGTGCCACAGACAGAGCTGGGGCTGCCCTGGAGCAGGTGCCCTGGGTCCAGCTCCCAGTGATTCATTCTCTATGGGGGTTTTCTCTTAGCACAGCACAGGAAAACTGTTACACAGAGGTGGAGGAAAGAGGAGCCACAAACACAGCTGGTCTTGAACAAACACTGTCCAACTCAGCTCCAGCTCACTGTCCTAGTGTGGTCGGCGGGGTCAGTGCTCAGCAGCAGCAATCTCCTACAGCAATCTCCTCTTGGAATATTTTCCTTTCTCCATGGGGCACCAAATAATTGCTGGAGTGTGGTGTCTCTCAGCTTTGCTTCTTGGAGAGAGTGCTCTGTTCTGCTTTGAGCTATTTAATAGCACTGTTGGGCTTCTACCCAAAGAAATAAGGCCCTTTATGTTGTCTTTGGTTCAGGTTCTCTCTCTCACTCGTGCTTTTTAATTCCCATAAAAACCTAACATGTTCCTGCCAAAAGTATAATTGTAGGGCCATGAGTGGTGGTGTGTGTAGAGGAACGACTCCGTGGTCATAAAGTATGAGAAGAGCGATAGTATTTAGCACAGAGAGACAACAAGAGTGGAAAAGTGTTCATTCAGCTTTTCTGTGGTAGTTAAGGCAGCTGTGAGCACCAGAGTCATTCTAAAAATAGCAGAAAAACCTTAAAGGAAATAAGTAATGATGAAGAAGCTGGTCTGGTCAAGCCACCCAGAGATGCCCTCAGACCTTCAGGTGACCATGGGGAGAATCCAGCCCATTCCTTGCTGCTGCTGGCTGCAGGGTTTGCTGAGATCCTGATCAGAGCTCTTGGATCTGGGGTATTTCTTTCTCATTACCATCCATCATCAACCCAAGAGACTTCTGAGTGCCTTTTGCACTCAGATAAAGGTTCAAGAAAAGCTTTGGTTCCAGGAAATTACACAACGGTGCTGATCTTGATTAATGCTCAGTAACACACCAGAGCCCTGTGGGCTGCACTGGGTGACTTAGAGGCTTTCCTTCAGAGGAGGAGTTGGCAAGAAAAACTGAACTACTGCATGAAAAGTACAATCTCTTGACAGGAAAATAAATTTAGGGACCAAACACTCCAAGAAATACCTGATTCACCTGACAATGGTGTTAAAAAAGGATTTTGAGTTTGTATTTGGCTGCTTTGAAAACCATTAGGAGCTCTTGTGTGTTGATTCACCAATCTCAGGGAAGGGGGGGGCTGGCCCATGTTATCACTCCAGAGAGCACTTCCCAAAATCCTGATCTGTGTTGAGCGGGGTATCTGAGAGCAAGGAATGAAGTCTGTGTGTGAAGCAAAGCTAGTGCAATGGCTGGGAGTGCTTTCAGCAACAGCCATACAGTCTGTACGTCCAAGGTTTCAGCTTTTAACAATCCAACTTGCAAACGTTTTTATCCGCTGCAGGCTTCTGGGATCCATTTCAATGACTAGTTTCCCCTTCTTGCAGCTGCATTTGCAGATTTAATTACTAAAGAATTAAGGGCCAAATGTTTAGAGATACTATATATATATACACGTGTGTGTGTGCGTGTGTATTGCAGAGAGTTGCCGTCCTTAATATCTCCCAGGGCACTCAAAGCACCACAGCAAACCCACACAGTGTGGTACTGGCTGCATCCCAATGTACCAGTAGCACATCTCAGTGCTAAAGAGACATTTTTACAATCTATAAACACATATAAACAGTGACTATAAAATATTTTCCATAATCCAGCTATGGGAATACATGACATTTAAAGTAATTTCCTGTATCTAGATTTATTCTGTGGCATGCCTTTTTCTGTTCATAAATCCACTTCTCTCTAAGCACTATAGAACTCTGCATAGAAAAGACAAAATGAATTCACGTGAGATTTTAAATGTAGTTTGTAGGCTAGAACGTGAATGTACCTGGAATGTGTGTGGGACTCTAGTCATCTCCCATGTCATCTCCTGATGGCACAGCTGTGAGGGCAGTTCTCACCCTCAGACATCCACAGCATCTTCCTCTTATCAATCTGATGCCTTCAGGTTTTTGCACAGTGTCTGCTGAAACATTGATCATGACCATACAGTCTCCTGCAAAATGAGGTCTCAATATTATCTTCCACTAGACCAGGTTGCTCTAATCCCTGTCCAACCTGGCCTTGAACGCTTCCAGGGATGGGGCAGCCAGAGCTTCTCTGGGCAACCTGTGCCAGGGAAGAATTTCTTCTCAATATCCAATCTAACCCTGCCTCTGTCAGTGGGAAGCCATTCCCCCTTGTCCTGTCACTCCAGGCCCTTGTCAAGTTCCTCTCCAGCTCTCCTGTAGCCCCTTTAAACACTGGAATGCTTCTGGTATATTCATGGCATAACCTAGACTCACAGTTCTTGGTTTTCATATGGTCTTAATCACTGTCTCGGTAATCCTCAGACTCACCCCCAGGCAGTGAACAGTCCTGCCCCCTGCTCATCTCCCACCACGTCTAATGTTTGTTCTGACCTTTTCTGTGTGTGTGTTCCTGGGCCAGGTGAGCCAGTGTGCCAAGATATGAGCAATATTTACTACCTGGCATGCAGTGGGTGTTGCAATTCCTGGTCATAATTGTGTTTGAGAGTTATAATAGTGGAGAAAGTTATTACCTGGGCTCCCTTCCCGCCTCTTGTGGGTTCCAATCAGACACTGGGTGTTTTTCAAATTGGTTTTTGAGTGTATAATTTTAGTACATACGTCAATAGAAAGCAGAACAAAAACAGAATTCACTATGATAAAATTAAAAGGACAGAGTCCCTCCCAGTGAGGAGACAGCCCCCCGCCACCTCCCACGCTGGAGGAGCATCACCTTTGTGTCACTTTGTGTCACTTTGAGCCATCATCGCTGTGAATCACCTGCCCTGCAGCCAGCCCAGGGACCAGCAGGGACCCCCGGGCTCCCCCTCTTCCCTTTAAAGCCCAGGAGCAGCAGCGTGTGCCCAGCACTTGGTGCCACCCTTGCTGCCACATCTCTTGCAGCTCGGCTGTGGGAGAGGCTGCGGGATGGCCGAGGGAGAAATCACCACCTTCACCGCCCTGACCGAGAAGTTCAACCTGCCCCCGGGGAACTACAAGAAACCCAAACTCCTGTACTGCAGCAACGGGGGCCACTTCCTACGGATCCTCCCGGATGGCACAGTGGATGGGACCAGGGACCGAAGCGACGAGCACAGTAAGCAAACCCTATGGGTCTTGGTGACCTCCTTGCTCCTATGATTTCATCAGCTAGGATGGGGGGAGCTGGGGAAGACGGGCACTGGACCAAGGTTTCTTTAATCCTGGTGGTAACACACCTTCCAGGAGTCACACATCTATAGCCCATAGGCAGAGCAGGGGAGGCAAAGTACGTGTGATATAAAAGTACAGATATAAAGTACATAAATAGATATATGAAGTATTAAATCTGACACTGGTCATTACCTCATGAAAGGCAGGCAGACACAGGGGAGGCAGCAATGACACAGCAGGGCTGGGTCTCACAGGGAGCTGGCAGAAAGGGCTTAGGGCAGCCTGGCATCCCACACACAAAGCTATCACTTGTGCTATCTCTGCATTTGCATCTGTTTGCCACAGCAATTTAACAGGTCACCCATGGCCAGGGTCTCATCTCACCTGTCCCCATCCCTGCAGTCGGTGATGTTGGTGGCCCCATGGGACTTTGGGGACCTGCTGCTGGGAGGAATTGCCCCCGCAGATGCCACCATTTGTCCTACCAAGGAGTCATTGGGAAGTTTTATGCTTTTTGAGCTCTTGCACTACCAAAAACTCTTCAGTGGGTTTCTTTAACCCGATGCCCAGGAGAGCTGGACCAGCCACACAGCAAAGTTCCCGGGGGCTCTGTGGGCAGCAGGACCAGGCTCTTCCCTTTGGCTCTCGGCAGAAACCTCTGGGTACACCATATCCTGGACATTTACTGGAATATGACTGGGATCTGCCAGGCTCCTATCCGATTACAAGGAAGGGCTGGGAGGAGCCAAGTCAGCCTTTATTTACTTTAAACTGCAAGCACACGTGGCTTTTCCCCAAACTTAACCTTTCCTCTCGCTATTGTTGTTTTAATGACAGGCAGTTTATAGACTAATTACAAACACTGTCTCCCATCATTTGCCCAACACAAGTGCTGGGGGATGGATGAGGATGAGTCTCCTGAGGCTGGATGAACACAGAGTGGGGCTCCAGCCTCCAGCTGGGTATGAACCCAGCACCACCTAACCCTGCTCAAACCCCTGGGAGAGACAGCCAGGACAGTGACCCGAAGGATCTTCAGGAGACAGGACCAGGCTCACAAGACCCACAAGGAGAGGTCATATGAGCTCAGCCAGTGTCTCTGCAGCATTTTCCAGAGGTTTTGCTGGAGTCTGAAGGGGAGGTCACAGTCAAGATGGCATCTCCTGGAACATGTGGAGCTACCAAGGCCTTGAGCATCCAGCTTCTGTGCCCCAGCATGGCATGGATGCTGCCACACAGCCCAGACTTTTTCCCTCCAGAAAAACAAATCCATCACCTGGGAGTGAGCTGTTCCCCACAGCCACATCGCACACGCGGGCAGTGAGTGCAGGCAGGTCCTGCACCCCAGCACGCTCACACCTCCCCGGCTGCTGGCCTGGGGCCACGTGTTTGAAAACCTCTGCCAGAAAGGAACCTCCTGTAAATGATCTCATAAACTTGGATACAGGAATGTACTAATATTTACAGAGGAAACTCCTGGAAGGGCTGCATGCCAGCAGAGCAGCCCTGCCACGAGGTGCCCTGCTCTGAGCACCAGCAGCTGCCCAAGGTCCTGCCCCTGTGCCTGCGAAATGCTGGAGCTGCTCAGCACCATCCCCTGGCGTGCAAGAGGAGCAGCCCAGACCGTGACCAGCACCATGGGATACTGCTCACCCAGCTGGGACAGGCACCTGCCAGCCCCAGGGAGGGACAAGACATGGGAACACCCACAGCTCATTGGGAAGCTGAAGAAGGACACAGAGGCATTATAGTCTGCATTGATGCTCTGCAAACTGCCCAAGCTCATTTTGCTCCTGACAAATATCAAAAATTCTTATTTTTATCTTGAATGGCCTTGCCAGCTGCTAGCCCTGGAATCAGGGAGGATCTCTAAGGAGTGCAAGAGTCTTTCCAAGCCCTTGTCATTCAGGCCGATGTCAGGATTCCCTCCCCACATCCTTTGTTGTTGTGTGTGGGCATCCCAAGCTTGCACTGTGAAATGGGAAGAAAACTTACCAGGACATTGCAGACCACTTGGGATGAAGCTTGTTTCCACAAACAGCCTTATTTTTCCTGTTTCATCCCATTACTTCATGGAAGGAAATCAGGCCTGTAAAAGGACACAAGAAGCACAAGCTCCTTCCTCCGAACCCAGCATTCTCCCTTCCTCTATGGCTGAATTGGCAGCCGGAGGATTCTCACTCCCCTCTCTCAGGGACAGCTTTTAGGACAGTATCATCATTTTCATCCCATTCCCCTCTTTCCCCCTGGATTGCTCTTGGGGCTGCAGCATCACAGTGAATGTAGGTGGGCTGGGGCTTTCCCACTGCAGATTCCCAGCCTAAACCAGGCATGCACTGGGACTGTGTATTCCTGCAAATCTGTACCCACACAATTTCCTAATTAGCCATCATTTACTAAGCAAGACATGCAAAAAAAAAGAAGGAAGAATGTGAACCATTACAGCAAAGATTTCACTGGGAAGAGTGTTCTGCCAGGCCAAGAGGTAACATTGCCTTTTAACTCATCTAAATAATGATAAATAAATTAAATATAAACAGGAAGGAAAGAACTGGAGCCGAGGCATCCGTTCATACTTCATTCAAACCAATCTAAATATTGCTGTCATAAATCTCATGAAAAAAAACTGTCTAGGAGATGGGAATGATCGCTTGGAAGAGCTGGAATTTGCAAGTCACACTGACTACAGCCACAGAGCCACAGCCTCCACACACACTGGTGGGGCTTTTAATGGCTCTGGCTGCAGCGTTCCTGCCCACCCATGAAAGCCCCGTGGGCTCCTGCCTGAACACACAGCACTGGAGAACTGTCCTCCCAAGGCTTCTCTCCAACTAAACAGCCTTTTCCTGATAAATATATTAAACAAATACTTGAGCCAAGTTTTAATCTCTTTCCGAGACTCCTGTAATCAGCAAAGTAAGGAAAAAAGAAACCAGACAAATGGAAAGTTTAAAGCTGCTGGGTGAGGTACAGGATGCTGAGTAGAGCAGGATGCTGCAGCTCCCCGGCTCACTTCCCTCAGCACAAGACCAGAAAAGAGCTTTTTTTGCCCTGGAGTTTCTAGCTGCAGTCCAGCGTTGGGAATGAGGATGGAATCTGGTGTTCAGCGGCTGCAGGGCCTGAGGCAGCTCCCATTGCTCCCACCCAGGCTGTGCCCTGGCAGACCCAGGTCCTGCTTCAGCATCAAATCCGTGCTAGCATTGCACATTCGGAAAATCTAAGGTGTGACTACCTACAGGAGGTATTTTTTTAAGATGAAGATCAGCCTTTGACATTTCTCCACTCTCCACCTACAGTGCCCTGAATAAATCCAGCCACAGTGCACGGCTGGATGGGACACGCTGGATCAGGAGTTTGCAGTGCAGGCATCTGCACTCTGCCCATTGCTGGTTTAGCTCTCAAAATACTTCTTCATATGTCACTCCTTAAGTGTCTTGTCAAACCACATGAGAAATTTGTAAATTAGAGCCAGAATTAAAACCCCAATCTCCTGTGTCCCATTCCAGCATCGTAACCAAAAGGCTGCCCTTCCTTTGATGTAAAATAAGGGGAAAATTGGTCTTTGGTTCCTAAAGGATGGCTGTGGGGTTTCTTTGAAGGAGAGGGTACAAGGAGACACTTCTATTACACACTGTACTGTTTCCTATAAACACTTTATAAGCCAGGCTTTGGAACAAAACACCCTGCTAACCTTCCTAGCAGCTATTTTTTTCCCCTTTTCCTATTTTGATTTTAATGTTATTATTTCATTTTTACTTCCAGTCCAGCTCCAACTGAGTGCAGAAAGCGTGGGAGTGGTGTACATAAAGAGCACCCAGTCGGGGCAGTACCTGGCCATGGACACCAACGGGCTGCTCTATGGCTCGGTAAGTGGGAGGATCCCGTGGGACCAGACACAGAGAGGGCTTGAGGTCTGCAGAAATCTCATAGCTCTGAGTAATGCAAACCACAGGCAATAATTAGGCTCTGTTTGTGATTCTGGCAGCTGGACAGTCGCTCTGCATCTGGCTTTATTTTGGGGGGAAATAAATAAATAACCAAATATCGCCATTACTGCCCTGCCTCCAACAACTATTGGATTTCCTATCTGACACTTGATAAATATTGTGTTTCATACCTGGAGCAGCAGCTGCTCTGCAGCCCTTCAGCAGCTGACAGCTGGTCTAGTGGAAGGGGGATGGAATGAGATGATCTTTAAGGTCCCTTCCAACCCAAACCATTCTGTGGATTTGTGCTCTGAGCTTGTAGCTGCCACCCCACATCTTAGTGCCAGAGCAGGAGCCAGGGCCAGGACCAGATGATGGAGCATGGGGCCGGACTCCATCACTGCTGAATAAAATGCCCAGGCCATGGACATGATGCTGCAGGAGTGGCCCAGGGGACAAAATCAAGGCTACTTACCTCCATGCTTTAATATGAGCTTTACTGGGGCATGGAGATCTCGGAGGTGGGTCTTGAGCTGGGATTACCACGTTAGGAACACACATCCCCATCCCCATGGCATCACCCCGGCTCACTGTTGTTCCCCCGGGCTCTCTTTCAGCAGTTACTGGGTGAGGAGTGCCTGTTCCTGGAAAGGGTCGAAGAAAACCATTATAACACGTACATCTCCAAAAAGCACGCGGATAAGAACTGGTTTGTGGGTCTGAAGAAGAATGGGAACAGCAAGCTGGGGCCGCGGACTCACTACGGCCAGAAGGCGATTCTCTTCCTCCCACTGCCCGTCTCGGCTGACTAAGCCCCATCCCAGAAGCTCAGAGATGACCCCAAATACCAAAACCCAACTGCTGCCGCCTCCTTAGAGCTCGTTAGAGCTCCGAGCTTTAGGTCAAGGCTTTACCAAAACTAGCCAAAGCAGAGCTCCTCAGCTCTGCACAAAAGCTTTGCAGAGATGAGGGGAAGAGTCCTGACACCCTCCCAAGAGCCACCAACCCCCCTGGCTCCCCCTGCCCTCCACTGTCTGCTGTTGTGTGCCATGACCACGCTGCAGCTCCTGGGGACAGGCACCCAGAAACCTGCCCAAAGGGCACCCCAAGGTCACCCCAGTTACCAGAGAAGTGCATGCTTTGTGTCCCCAGGCATTCTAAGGCAAAACCTTCCTGGATACTGTGTATTAATGTATTTATCTATCTAAGTATGCAGCTTCTAACGTACCCTCAAACAATCTCATATTGGACCATCAGTCCTGTTATCCAGGGCCAGCCTGGTGAATGCTGGCCAATATCCTTGGTGTGTTAAGCTGAACAAGCAGGCAAAGCTCCAGTCCCAGACCTTGGCCTCCCTCACAACACCAGTAGTGCTGTATTTCATGTACCTACCATATATTATTAGTATTTATTTATCAAGTAAGTACGTCTCTTCTACAATCTGTTCATAGGTAATTCCAGGCACCAAAGCCCCTTGATGCTGTCCCAGTGAGGAAGGGGCAGTGGCAGTCAGTGACTGGTGTGAAGGTGTGATGCACAGCAGGAAGATGCTGCATGACAGTGGCAGCACATTGCACCCATTCCCAGGGGTATTCCCCCCACTGCTCTGGTGTCTGGCTACATGGGGCTCTAAAAATGCCACTGGAGCCCCTTGATGACTCCCAAACCCTGTGAGAAGCTGTTTCTCCTCACCTGGCATGATGCAGCTCAAGAGCAGCTCAAGAGCCACTCCTGCCATGTGAGAGCATCACAGGAGCACCAAGCTGCCACACTGTACCCAGAGCATCCACAGCTTCTCTGGAAAACCTGTGCCAGGGCCTCACCACTCACCCTCACAGGGAGGAATTTCTCCCTAATATCTAATCTAAATCTACTCTTCTTCAGTTTAAAGCCATTCTCCCTTGATTTATCCTGCCATCATGGACAGGGACAAGAAGTGCTCCCTGCTCCCGACAAATCCAGATCAACCATCTCTACACAAGAGAGGAATAAAGAGCACTCTGCCTTGCATATTTCTGCAACAGCAATTAGTCACTAATTACTGCACTTTACAATCGCTCTAATTACTGCACTTCTGCACTTGCTGGCTCTGAAACCTTCTCCCCAGCACTGATAGCATCACAGGTAATCCCAGTGCTCCTGGGCAAACAGGGAGCTGGCATAGGAATGGCAGAGCTGTGGCTGTGAAGGAGCCTGCACCAACTCCTTGCACCTTCTCATTGCCATGGCCCTTCAGTGCTGCTTCTCACCTGTGAGATCCACGTGGAAATCGAGTGGAAAGGTGAATTTTGCTAATCCTGTAGGTACCAGCTGCTCCTCTTGTCTTCTACACAGCAACATTCCTGTACAGCTGCCCACAGGGAGGGCAGATGGGTGGTCTTGGAAGTATTTACTCTGTGCACACTGAATGCTTGAGGGACCACAAACACAAATTTTCAGTTTTTACTTAGAATTCCCAACAGCCAAAAAGGCACATTTTTAATATATATATTTCTACATACCAACTAAAACATTTCAATTAGAAGAAAACAATAATGCTTACAAAAAATCTACTCTGCATTGTTGCCTTCCCCCCTCAAAAAGGTTAGGTACAGCAGTGGGATAACTTTGGAGTTTTTCAGTATCCCTGTGTCCCAGGTAAGCCTGAACAGGCAAACACCTGTGATTTGCAGTGTTGCCTTATTTTCACATCTAAGCCCATTAATATAACTCACACCAGAGCAGACACAGCTCCCTGCAACCTTTCAGCTGGCAAGCACTACCCCATGGAGGTGTCTTCATCATCCTCATGCGTTCCCTCATCCTACATCTGCAGGGACATGGATCCCTCAACAGGTTGGACCCCTCCACCTCTGGCATCAGTGCTGCTCTGAACTTCTAATTGCTTCACTGCAGTGGATAAGAGTTGAGAAGTACCTGGCAGTGCCCAGTAAGGACAGAATATCTGCCAAAATCCTGGATTTCAGCCAACAAGCTGCCGGGAGAGAAAGGCCAAGAGAGGGACCCAAACACTACTGATGGCCCTGGCTCAGCTGCTATCACAGGTCCAGCACGATATTCCTACGGCAAACAAAAAGCTGGGCAAGACAGAGGGATGTGGAAGGCTGACAACATCAACACTCTTCTTAAACACCGTGGTTGCTTTCCCTGTGAAAGGCCGGGCTGTCACTCAAGTCAAGAAGTGAATGAATGCATGAGCGGGAGATGCAGGTTTCTAATTAAACTGGAAAGTTGGAACGTGTAATGCCGGATTTAGCTGTGCTGTCTTGCAACACCTCATTAACCCAGGGCTCTCCTCTCGTTAGGCTTCTGCCGCTCAGAAACCGCCCCCGCAGGTACACGCTCGACGCCCAGCCGGGGAAAAATGTCAACACTTGGGCTGAAAAATAATCCCCAGGGAAGCCACAGTAATTGCTTCAGACAGATGGACAAGCCAGGATGGCATTGCCCAGGGAAACCATGCTTACCTCAGGGAGTTTGTCCTCAGGGTGAGAGGTGAGGGGGGATAAGGGGGAAGGAAAATTATAAGATTTAAGAAAATCATTACAAGTGAAGATCTTTCCCAATAAGTGCAGGGAGCCCAAGTGTGCTGTGAGAGGTTTTCTGGAGTGTGAAGGAAAGGGAAGGGAAGAAAGGAAAGGGAAGGAAAGAAAGAAGGCAGGGAGGTAGGGAGTGAGGGACAAGAAAATGCCAGAGAAAGGTAAAATCTGGGTCGGGCCATGCTGCACAGCTGGGTTGGGCTGTGGAGTGTGCTGGAGGGAGGGAACACACACCTCTGCTCCATGGGACAGTCCATCATGAGCTCCCTGTACATACAGGGCAGATGTCCTGCCCAGCACTCCCCATCTTTGTGTCCAGTTCTGGAGCCCTCACTCCAAGAAGGACATGGAGGGGCTGGATTATGTCCAGGGCAGGCAACAGAGCTGGGGAAGGGTCTGGAGCACAAGTCTTGTGAGGAGCATCTGAGGGAGCTGGGGAGGCTCAGCCTGGAAAAAGGAGGCTGGGAGGGACCTTCTCACTCCCTAAAACTCCCTGACAGGAGGGTGGAGCCAGGTGGGGGTCAGGCTCTGCTCCCAGGGAACAAGGGATAGGACAAGAGGAAACAGCCTCAAGCTGTGCCAGGTGAGGTTTAGATTGGAGATTAGGGAAAATTTCCTCCCTGAAAAGACTGTCCAGCCCTGGCACAGGCTGCCCAGCCCTGGCACAGGCTGCCCAGGGCAGTGGTGGAGTCCCCATCGCTGGGGGGATTTAAAAGCCATGTGGATGTGCCACCTAGAGACCCGTTTTAGTGGTGGCCTTGGCAGTTCTGGGGCAACGGTTGCACTCGATGATCTTAGAGGGCTTTTCCCAACTAAATTATTCCACGACTCTATGATTTTCAGCCAAGGGAGACCGCGCAGGGAGCACCAGGGCTGCTGCTATTTCGCCTTCGGTTTCGGATCGGGAGCTGGCAGGAGCGGGCAGGGACAAGCTACTAGGGCGGGAGGCCCCGAACAATAAAGAAAATAAACAAACTTTGCCCCCCAGGCTGCTGGGGGGCGGCACACGGGAATTCCGGGAGCGAGGGGAAGACCGGGCATCCCCCCCCGCGCTGCCGGTGCCAGCGGGCGGACATCGAAGCGCCAACATCTGGCTCAGCATCTGGCGGACAAATGGAGCGAGAGGAGCTGAAGGGGGCCCGTGAAGCGGTGGGGTCCCCCCACTTGCCCAGGGGTGCTGCACCCACCCCAGGGAGCCCCTGCTGCCCCTCGCGTGGGGCTGGGGCTGTCCAGGGACCCCCGTGGGGAGCAGGAAGGGTAGAGTGGGTTTACACTCCTGGCAAAACCACTCATCCCTTAACGTGGCTTCTCCTTCCCCATCCTCTCACCCCACTGCTGCTTTGCCCATGAGACAGCGCTCGGCCCCAGCCTGGTGAGCCAAACCAACCCGAGCAAGGGAGCCTGGAATAGTCTGTTATTAAACTCGGGGAACTGATGGGAATCCAAGCAAAAGGAAAGCTTGGGTTTCTGCTGCTTTCCTGTGGTTCGCATTTTGGAAAGGCTGCCGGAGGACACACACGTCTCAGGACAGGAGCTGTGGGATGCAGTGTTGGGCACCACGATGCCGTGAAGCATCATCCCCTCAGAGGCTCTGGCAAAGACTGGGAGAGCCCCTGCAGTCACAGCCCCAGCGTGCCACCTCATGATGCCCACCCTTGCAGCTCTCCCTTGGCAAGGGAGGTGCAGCAGCACTGTCCATGCCCCCACCTCCACATACCCATCTCCAGCACCTCCTGCTGCACCCCAGACCTCCCTCCCCACTGTCCCAAGCCTTTCTTGAGCACAGCTTATGCCAAACCACTTCAGGATGTGCTGACTGAAACAAGCTCTTGGGGTAGCACAGCTATTCCCATTTGTGCTGTTACTCCATTTTTAGAGCCAATATCTGAGGATTTCCTGAGCTGTGGAGGGAGCTGGGGTAAATCTCCTGCCAGGCTAGTGGGACAGTGTAAATCCGTTCAATAAAGAGGAGCGATTTCCATGGGGAAGGTCCCAGTGGGAACAATGGGGGGATTTGCCAGAGCAAGGTCTGCCAAACCTCCACCTCACAGCATTGCCACAGTTCGCGCAGGTTTGGCTCTTCCTCAGCACGTGCAGCAATTTGTTCTGGCTAGTGAGGGTGGCTTGTGGCAAGTGCTAATCCCAGCTCTGGGGTTGAGCCCCTCAGGAGGGGTAAGAGGCCCCAGCTCCCAGCCCTCACTCCTCCAGAGACACTGAGTATCCAAAAGCAGCAGCTCTGTGTAATCCCCACACAAAGAGGTGGTCACCGCTAATGGGTTTACCTGCTTAATTCTCCCCAGCCCTTCCTGGCTCTCAGGGTTTTCCCTTCCCCACTGACTCGGTGCTACAGGAAGCTCTGCTTCCCACATTAAGCAGATTGTCTGCAGCAGGACATGCAAATGCATTTATCCCGCTGAATTCCCGAGCTGTTACACCACGGCGTTTCCGGGATATGAATCCTCTGTCACTCACATCCTTCCCTGCCCTATTTCCGGACCTGGGCCACGACACATTTATCACCCAAGGCACAGAGCATCTTCAATCCCCCCTGGCTCCCAAAGTGGTTCCCCTGGGATCATCTGCTGTCACCACCAAATGCCCAGAGGAACCCTGGTGCTCATGGTGACCACCAAAACACCTCCCACCCCATTGCCAGGGCTCACCCCTGCCCAGTACAGCCCCACATCAGGGGGTCCTGGTGGTGGGTACACTTAGGACAAGCTCAAACCACTCCCCACCATCCCAAATTTACTGTTTCGCTGCAGAAATTATCCCAACATGGGTTTCCTCCTTTTGCAGGAGAGGAGTTGGGAAGGAGGGTGGGTGGGCACCCGCACCCACATGTGCCAAAAGAGCCAACTGCCTCAATTAAAAGGGGATTCTAGGCTCAGATCAGCAAACGCTGGCCTAATTCAGGAAGGAAAGGCTCTGTCACAGCCCTGCTGGGCAGGACACTGGGCAGGAAAACCATTTCCAGGCACAGCCATGAAAAGTTACAGCTTGATAACTCAGACTGCAAGGTCTGTGCTCTTTAGAGAACAAGGCCTCGAGCTCAGATCCAAACCCTGCTCTCCAAGGACAGGTCAAGCTTTCCAAAGCAAATCCAAGTGCAACTCAAAGCCATCTGAATCCAATCGCTGCTCACTCGGGCAGATCCCCCTTGTCACCGAGCATGGAAATTCAATATGTGGGAAGAACTTGAAACAAGAAAATGAAATTCTGTTTATTTTCCTAGCAGGAGTCTGGCCTAAACCCTTCACTTTTCAAGAGTCAGTAACTGTTGCTTCCTTTTTTACCCTCCTTTAATTACATTTCTAGGCTAAATGAGAACCAAGATGAAGGCTTGGGGCACTACCACAGCATCTCTGGCGAGATGCACCCTGGCCAAAGGTGCAGTTCCAGAACAAGACACTGCATAATGAGTTATAATTAAAATACTGTTTTACCAATTTTTCTCAGAGTCTGAACAGGTTTTCTCAAACACAAAAAAATCCTATGTTTTTTCTAGCCAAACAACCTGTCTAAGAAAGAGCTTGTGAAGGGCATCTATAAGGAAGGCAGACCCTGCCCTTACCTTGTCTGCCCACATCAACAGTCTGGGAAAATGCACCCAGGCAACTTGAGTTTACCCCATCCAGGTTCCTCCATATGCCATGTGGAGGCAGGGAAGGAGAGATGGAGGGACATGTCACATGGATGAGCTGGGCAGAGCCAGATCCTGATGGCACCCAGCAGGAAGCCCCCAGCTTGGGTTTGGATCACCTCTGCTCCCAGTCTCCTTTCTAGATGGTTCTGAAATTTTAGTCTGTAAAAAAAAGGATGGTGTCAAAGTATCAGGAAGGGAAAAACAACACAACTGCCTCACAGTTGTCATTGCAGATGCCTTTGTGGCTGAAGGAAAAGGCACATGGGCACTGTGCTTCAGCATTAGCTCCAACCACCACCATGAGGAAACCCCTCACCCCACTCACACCTACACTGCTGTGCTGGGTGACTCCAGCTCCTTCATCACTTCAGGATTTAACTTTCCTTGTGCACCATGTAGTTTATATTGTGTTAAGCCCATCTAGACAGCAAACCATTTCCTCCTGCTTAACAGCCCTCCTGTTCCTCCCCATCATCCGCCGCACACCGCTAAGCCCAAACGATTAACGCTGTCTCCACCACGGAGCAAAGAGAGGTCCCACAGCTCTTAAACACCCTGCACTCCCCCAGCCTGCTCTGGACTGGGGTTCTGCAACAGACCTTCTTCCCTCATAACACTTGTGACACAGTAATTTATTCTGTCCCCATAGGATGGGTCCCAGTGTGCACGGCACAGTTTCATGGACCATCCTGCTCCCCCAGCCAGGAGCTGCTCCATCCCGTTATTCCAAACCCTTTGAAGACATCTCTTGTCCTTCCACATCTCACTTTCTTTTTAGTAAAATCCTTTTTCTGGTTGCACTCAATGCTCACTTAGCTCCTGTCCACCTCCAAGGTCCTACTGAACAGTGTTGCTATAGCTCCTGCTCCCCTTGGCTCCAGCCCCACTGCTGCCCACCCCGTCTCCTATCTCCCATCTCGCCTCCCCATGTAACCAACCAGAAATTACACCCCACAGAAGAGTTAAACCAGCCTGGAGAGTTGCTGCTGCCCCACTTTGCTGCCTGAACACCATCCAAAAGCAATTAGGCAGCACAATAACCCCGGTCAGGAGCAGTGA